CAAAAACAAAACAAAGAAAAAAGTATATTTCAGGGGCTGGAGCGATGGTTTAGTGGATAAGTGTAGTTGTTGCAAACTCAATGAGAAAAAGCACATGATCATCTTACTAGATTCTGAAAAAGCCCTTGACAAAATCCAAAACCCCTTCATGATAAAAGTCTTGGAGAGATGAGGGATACAAGAAATGTAACTAAATATAATAAAAACAATATACAACAAGCTGACAGCCAACATCAAACTAAATTGAGAGAAACTCAAAGCGATTCCACTAAAATCAGGAATAAGACAAGGCTGTCCACTTTCTCCATATCTATTCAATATAGCACTTGAGGTTCTAGCTAGAGCAATAAGACAACAAAAGGAGATCAAGGGGATATAAATTGGAAAGAAAGAAGTCAAACTTTTGCTATTTGCAGATGATATGATAGTATACATAGGTAACTCCAAAAATTATACCAGGGAACTCCTACAGCTGATAAACACCTTCAGTAAAGTGGCGAGATATGAGATTAACTCAAAAAAAAAAAATCAGTAGCCCTCCTATATACAAATGTTATATGGGCTGAGAAAGAAATCATGGAAACAACACCCTTCACAATAGCCAAAAATGATATAAAATATCTTGGGGGTAACTCTAACCAAGCAAGTGAAAGGCCTGTATGTCAAGAACTTCAAGTCTTTTCAGAAAGAAATTGAAGAAGGTATCAGAAGATGGGAAGACCTCTCTCATGGATCAGTAGGATTAACATAGTAAAAATGGCCATCCTACCAAAAGCAATCTACAGATTCAATGCAATCCTCATCAAAATTCCAACACAATTCTTTACAGACCCTGAAAGACCAATCCTCAATTTCATACAAAAAAACAAGCAAACAAAAAACTCAGAATAGTTAAAACAATCTTGTACAATAAAAGAACTTCTGGAAGTATCACCATCCCTGATTTCAAGCTCTTCTACAGAGCTTTAGTAATAAAAACAGCATGGTATTGACATAAAAACAGACAGGTGGATCAATGGAATTGAATCAAAGACCCTGACATAAATCCACACACCTATGGATAGCTGATTTTTGACAAAGAAGCCAAAATTATACAATGGAAAAAAGAAAGCATCTTCAACAAATGGTGCTGGCATAACTGAATGTCAGCATGTAGAAGAATGCAAACAGATCCATATCTATCACCCTGCACAAAACTTAAGTCCAAGTGGATCAAAGAACTCAACATAAATCCAGCTACACTGAACCTGATAGAAGAGAAAGTGGGAAACAGCCTTGATTGATGGCATAGGAGAAGAATTCCTTGATAGAACAGTTAGCACCGACACTAAGATCAATAATTAATAAATGGGACCTCATGAAACTTGAAAGCTTCTGTAAGGCAAAAGACACTGTCAATAGGACAAAATGGCAGCATATAGAATGGGAAAAGATCTTCACCAACCCCACATCCAACAGAGGGCTGATTTCTAAAATACATAAAAAAATTCAAGAATCTAGACATCGAAAAACCAAACAATAAAATTTAAAAATGGGGTACAGATCTAAACAGAATTTTCAACAGAAGAATCTCAAATGGCCAAGAACCTCTTAAAAGAAATGTTCAACATCCTTAGCTGCCAGGGAAAAGCAAATCAAAATGACTCTGAGATTCCATCTTACATCTGTCAGAATGGCTAAGATCAAAAACACTGATGACAGCTTATTTTGGAGAGAATGTGGAGTAAGGGGAACACTCTTCCATTGCTGGTGGGAGTGCAAACCTGTATAGCCACTTTGAAAATCAATATCACGGTTTCTCAGAAAATTGGGAATCAATCTACCTCAAGACCCAGCTATACCACTCGAGCATATACCCAAAGGATGCTCAATCATACCATAAGGATACTTGCTCAACTATGTTGATAGCAGCTTTATTCATAATAGCTAGAACCTGTAAACAATCTAGATGTCCCTCAACTGAAGAATGGATAAAGAAAATGTGATACACTTACACAACAGAGTATTTATTACTCAGCTGTAAAAAAAATGATGACATCAGGAAATTTGAAAGCAAATGGATGGAAGTAGAAAAAAAAAATCATCCTGAATGAGCTGACTCAGACCCAGAAAGACAAATATGGTATGTACTCACTCATAAGTGGATATTAGCTGTAAAACAAAGGATAACCATGCTATAATCCACAGATTCAGAGAGGCCAGGTAACAAGGAGGGCCCAAGGGTAGATGAATGGATCTCCCTGGGAAGGGGAAATAGGAGATCTCATGGTAGATTGGGAGCAGGTGGGGATGGGAACATGAGGGATTGGGTTGTGGGGTGGTTGGAGAGAGAGAAATAGAAACCTGGTGTAAGGGAAACTCCTGGGAATCTACAAGAATGACCCTAGCTAAGACTTTTAGTGAATACATAGCCTGAACTGGCCATTTTATGACCCCAGCTAAGACTCCTAGCAACAGTGGCTACATAGCCTGAACTGGTCATCTCCTGTGACCAGATTGGTGACTACCCTAATTGTCACCAGAGAGCCTTCATCCAGTAACTGATGGAAACAGATGCAGAGACCCACTGCCAAATATTAGGCTGAGCTTAGAAAATCCTGCTAAAGAGAGGGAGGAAGGATTGTACGAGCCAGAGAAGTCAAGGACATCACAAGAAAACCTACAGAAACAACTAACATGGGCTCATAGGAGCTTACAGAGTCTCAACCAATAACCAAGGAGCCTGCATAGGACCAACCTAAACCCTCTGCATATATGTGACAGCTGTGTGGCCTGGTCTACTTGTGGGACTCCTAACAGTGGGAGCAGAGGTTGTCCCTAATGCTTTGGCTGGCTTTTGGTACCCTGTTCCTCAACTGGATTGCCTTGCCCAGCCTTTACACATGAGGAAGTGCTTATTAGTCTTACCACAGTTTGATATGCCATGTTTTGTTGATACCCATGGGAGGCCTTCCCCTTTCTGAACAGAAACAGAGGAGGAATGGATGGGGGCAGGGAGGGGTAAGGACTGGGAGAAGATGAGGGATGTAAAATAAATAAATAAATAAATAAATAAATGTAATTAAAGAAAAAAAGAGTATTTGTTGCTTTTGTAGAGGGCCCAGGTTCAAGTCTTACTATCCAAATGGCAACACAGAACTGCCTCTAACTCATTTCCAGGGAATCCGATGATCCTTCTGGGTTCTGTGGGCTCAGGCACATATGAGGTACACACATATGCACGAGGCAAAACATTCAAATACATACAATTTTAAAAGTTAAAAGTTTATGTCTGTGATTACACAAAGCTAATTATTTTTAAGTAAATAATATTTGTACTTAGTATTTGTCTCTGGCAAAGGGGCCACCCTGTAGCTTTTTTTTCCTATGAAAACCAACGATTGCTATCAATATTTATAGCAACAAATTATAGCAATATTTCCTATGCAGGTGCCATCTTCATTGTATTTACAGAAATGCCTGGAGGGGGAGCTGGGAGGGAAATGGGAAACAGTGTCGGTGTCCTGTCCAGTGTCTGTGGGTTACCCCCCTCCACTTACACTGGGAAACACATGCTCTATCTATTTCTTAGAGCTCACTTCCCAGAATTCTCTATGTTCTAACTCTATAGAACCACTGGCTGTTCCCTAAATCAGTGGTTCTCAGCCTTCCTAATGCTGCGACTTTAATACAGCTCCTCATGCTGTGGTGACCCCCAGCCATAAAGTTATTTTCCTAGCTACTTCATAACTGTAAATTTGCTACTATTATGCATCCTAATGTAAATACTTTTGGAAACAGAAATTTGTTAATGGGGTCAAGACCCACAGGTTAAGAACCCCTGCCTTAAATGTTACCCTTGTTAAATTCAGACCATGCCTGAGCTGCTCCCTCTTAGACTGTCACCTCCCCATCCTCCTCATCCTCAACAACCACATCAGATGGTCCTTAAAATGCCAGTTCAGGGGCTGGAAATTGTAGCTCTGGTGGTAGAGCCTTTGCCTGCTATTCAGGGAATCCTGGGTTCCATCCTTGGCAGTGCGTAACCAGGCACGGTGGCACATACTTGCAATCCCAGCATTTGGGAGGCAGGAGGATCAGAAGTTGAAGGTTAGGGGCTGGAGAGATGGCTCAGCAGTTAAGAATGGATACTGATCTTACAGAGAACAGGAGTTCAGTTTCAGGTGACTCAATTGCTAGTAGCTCCAGCTCCTGAGGATCTGACACCTTCTTCTGGCGGCCTCTGGCCTCCAAATGCATCTGCATTCAAGGGCACATACCAACCCATAGACATACATGCATATACATAATTTATATAAATAAAGAAAAGAAGTTTAAGGTTGTCCTTAGTTGCAGAGCAAGTTCAAGGTCAGAATGAAAACATTTAAGTATCTCCTCCTGTAATTTGCTTTACAGACCCTGTTTTGGATGGCATGCTTTTACCATCTACTGTATGTTTTAAGGCAGTTTCCATTATTATTGTTTGTTTGTTTAAGAGGTCTCACTATGTAGCCCCCTGGCTGGCCTGGAATTTTCTATGTAAACCAGGCTAACTTCGAACTCATGGAAATCTGCTTGCCTCTGCTTCTTTAGTGCTGGGATTACAGGTGTGCACCACCACCACCACACCTGTCCACTTTTTGATGTTTTTTTTTTACTCCTCTTAGCTGACACAGTCCTTGAGCCATTAACACACATAGTTAATGGTTCCATTTCTGAATGAAATGGCCTGCGTGGCTCTGGAGAGACAGACTACAAATGTATTCTGGAATAGCGAGGGCCGGATGCCACAAGCAGATGAAAGGGGTGAAGCAAGCTACTTAAAAATCACCTATTCCGGAAAACGTCTGTAGACGCCTCAACTGGCGGCCCTCCGTTTCCCCGGCTCCTGCAGCTCAGCTCGCCATCGCTGACAGGCTCCCTGGAGGGTGAGGCGCCATCCCCACGGTGGCCCTGGGCGCCGGGCGCCAGGCGACCTCCCCTAGTGATGCCCGGCTCCCCCACCGCCCCGCAGCACTCACCTCCGTCCCGGATTCGGCCTTGCGAAAATCGCTGCACATTGCCCCGTCAGCGCCTCAGGCTCAACTTTCCCGCCAGCAATGCCATTTGGCAACAGCCCGTCAGACCAGCGGGCCCCGGGCGCGCATGCGCGCTGTGCGGGCCCGGGGGTGGGTGGGGTGGGGAGAGCATGCGCAGTAAAGCCGCGCCGCCCTCTCCGTGACGGCAGTGTTGTGCGTCTCCTTTTTCACTTCGGTCTCCTTGGAGACCTGGAGTCTGTTAGTCCTTACGTTTTCTTTTATGTTATTATTCTCGACTTATCTTTGTTAGGCAAAATTAACAACATGTACTTGATTTTTAAGTTTTATTTTGGGTGTTTTCCAATACGGTCTCCATATGAAGCCCCCGCTGTCCAGGAACTCGCTCTGTAGACAGGCTGGCCCCAAACTCCGCCTGCCTCTGCCTCCCGAGTGCTGGGATTAAAGTTGAGCACCATCATTCCCGGCACCTACTTGTTTTGTTGTTATTGTTGTTTTGTTTTTTTAAACTATTAAAGTAAATCTTCCAGCCCTGGTGGTGCACGCCTGTGATGTCAGCACTGAGGAGGCTGTGGCAAGAGGATCATCGAGAGTTCGAGGTTAGTTTGGGCTATATCGTGAGATCGTGTCTCAAAAAAAAACAAAAAACTAGGACGAAAGTTTAGTGATCTGGTCTGTTCTTGCGCCAGTGGTCCCAACAGCTCGTGAGGCCGACGCAGGATAGTCGCTTGCCTGAGCTGCACAGCAGACGCGTACTAGAAAGAAAATTAGTACCTTTACTGAGCGAGCAGGCTCTTTTGTCTGTTCTTGAGCCAAAGCCTCTGACTGGGTGTGTTATTTATAGGTAATTGGGGGCGGGGGGAGGGGACAGAAATGTATATTGAATTGAAACTGGAAATATACCGAGCCTGTGAATTATCAAGCTCTTGGTTTGGTTAGGTTTTTTTGTTTTGTTTTGTTTTGTTTTGTTAAAGTGCTAGAAATACAGGCTAACACCACTCCTGTATGTGGTTCTGGGTATTAACACCTTTATTGCATTCTTCCAATTGAGCAATTTTCTCTGGCCCATTTTGTTAAGTTCTTGGGCCAAGGAAAGAGTGGAGAGTAGAGTAATTTTATCCTATTGGCTGTCCAATACCCACTGATTAAATACATATAGAATGTTTATACTTTGTATATCTACAAGTACACATCTTATATACACAGCACACGCTAATGTAATGAATGTCTGTACAAGGCAGACTATTTACCACACATCAGATCTGTACTAGGAATACATCACTGGAGACACGCCTGAATGGAGTTTACAACCTATTAGGTCAGTTACTGGAACTCTTCTGAAAATTCACTTTCCAATAGGTGTGTAGGTTGTCTCCTTGTGAAAAAACAGTGTAATGTTCTGTCTCTTGTCATACTCTTGAAGCTGTATAATTATGAACTAATGCTCTGTGCTGGCTAATTATGTCACCTTGACACAAACTAGAGTTATCTGAAAGGAAGGAACCTCAACTGAAAACATGCCTCTGTAAGATCTGACTGTAGAGCATTTCTTAATTAGTGATTGAAGGGGGAGGGCCCAGACCACTGTGGGTGGTACTATCCTTGGGCCGGTGGTTCTGGATTATATAAGAAAGCGGGCTAAGCAAGCTATGATAAACAAGCCAGTAAGCAGCACCCCTCTATGGCCTCTGTATCAGCTTCTACCTCCAGGTTCCTGCCCTGCTTGAGTTCCTGCCCACACAGCTTCTGATGATGAACTGGTATATGGAACTGTGAGTGAAATCAACCCTTTCCTCCCCAGGTTATTTTTGGTCACGGTGTTTCATTACAGCAATAGCGACCCTAACTGAGACATGAGAGTGCTTTGTACATGCCAGTCACCATTGTAAGTGCTGTAGACACACTAACTAGTCAACCTGCTCCTCAGTCCTGGGGGGTAGGTGCTGTTACCATGCACAAGCAATAGATGATGAGAATGGTCACAGGTTTAGCTCGTGTTACTTTATGATGGCACTGGAATGGATTGACAGAATAATGCCAAATGGGAAGTAAATACCACATGTACAAACTGAAGGAACTCTAGTCAGCCCCAGTATGGCAAACATGGCTCTGACAGGCCTTGCCCTTCTCCCTCATTCCCTCTGCCTTGCTAAAAACTGTTCCTAAAGCTAGCCACCAAGGTCTATTCCCTTATTTGGCCACTTCCTCCTCCTGAGGCTGACCACCAAGGTCCAACTATCAAAGTATTGAAGCCCAGCAATCAAAAGCCCCCTTTGGTTCACCTAATTGACATGCCCAATTAAAACTAAACACATCCTAACATGGAGTTTCCTTGGTTACCTTTATAAACTGCCATTTGCCTATGGGCCTTATCTGTCTCCCTCCTATCCAGAGGCAGAACCCCCACCCCCAACAAATATCCCTGCCCCTCTCCTTTGTTCCTTTCCCCTTCTCCCTCATCCTCTGTCCCATCTTTGTCTCTTAGTCCCTGCTTGTCCCTCTGGGGTAAATAAATCTTCTTTGTGCTAAGAACTTGGTCTTGGGGTGTCCTGAGCTGATCCTGTCACAACTCCTTTAAAAAGCCTCAATGTGACAGGCACTAGTGGTTCACATCTTTAATCTCAGCACTCGGGAGGCAGAGGCAGGTGGATCTCTGTGTGTTTGCGGCCAGCCTGGTCTACAAAGCAAGTTCCAGGACAGTCAGGGCTACACAGAGAAACCCTGTGTCAAAAAATAAATAAATAATATATATATATATACATATACATATGTATTGTATATATATATTTGATTCATTCATATATATGAATGATCTGGGGAGGTGTGTGTGTATGTGTGTGTGTGTGTGTATACACATGCGCCACGAACATGTATGGACATGTTAGCACATATCTGTAATCCCAGCATTGGAGGCAAAACAAAAACAAAAACATCCTACCAGATACTTGCTAAAAAATAAAAACACAAGTGGCCCATGAGATTGTTCAGTGAGTAAGGGCACTTGCTGCTGAGGATGATAACCTGAGTGCAATCCCAGGACTCACATGGTGAAAGGAGAGAACCAATTTCACAAGTTGTCCTCTGACCTCCACATGCATGTGATAGCACATGCATGCCTACATACATACATATATGCATACAAGAAATGTAAAAATAATTTGGGAAAAGGGAAGGAGGGGGAAAGAAAAGAACTATTCTCTTTTTAAAAATATCTTAAATCTTATTTATATGAGTGTTTGCCTGCAAATATGTCTCTGTACCACATGTGTGCTTGGTGCTGGTTGAGATCAGAGAAGGGCATTGGATCCCCTGGAGCTAGAGCTAGAGATGGTTCTAAACCACCATGTGGGTGGTGGGAATTGAATCCCAATCCTCTGGAAGGCAACATGCAGTCTTAATCACCAAGCCATCTTTCCAGACCCCAAAGAACATTCTTGATCCATTCTAGAATATAGAGGAGGGAATTAAGAACGACCTGAAGTATTAGGCTAATGTAGTGCATGGCAGAAGTTATTTCACTAGACTCCCTACTACACTGCCATCAGTAATAGTTCATACTCATCATACTACCCCATTGCACAGCTTTTCTCCTCTCTCAAGCTTGTGTAAGTACACTGGTGTTTACACAACAAAATAATATCACACATCCCTAGACTGTGTCCCCAGAGCTAAGTGATGTGTGACTGTAGTAGCTCTGGCCATCAACATCAAGATGACAGACCAACTTGTGGGTTAGAAAAGCCCAAGTTCCCATTTTTTCATCCCTCTGTCCTTCAGCTTTCATTAGAAGCCTATGGCATAGCATGGGCTTACAGTTTTCATAGGCCGTGCTAAAGCTGCTCCATAGACAAATCACAGTGGGCTTGGTTGCAAGTTACAGAAGATGCTGCTTCTACTTATTTTGAGCAATAAATGGGATGGGAGATGGTTCAACAGTTAAGAACACTGGCTGCAGCTGGGCTGTGATGGCATCTGCCTTTAATCCCAGCACTCGGGGGGGCAGAGACAGGCGGATCTCTGTGAGTTCGAGGCCAGCCTGGTCTACAGAGTGAGTTCCAGGAAAGGCACAAAGCTACACAGAGAAACCCTGTCTCAAAAAACCAAACCAAAAAAAAAAAAAAAAAAAAAAAGAACACTGGCTGTTCTTTCAGAGAAACTGAGTTCCATTTCCCAGTACCCACATGGTGACTCACAACTGTAACTCCAGTTCTAGGGGACTCAACAGCCTCCTCTGGGCTCTGGGAGCACTATGCACAGACATACATGCAGGCAAAACACCCACACACATGAAAATAAATCATTCTTAAAAATCTGAAACAATGGGACTTGCTGAGTCATGTTAGAGGGAAGTCCAGAAATGAGGCGGACTTAGAGTTAGTTAATGAGAAGCTCAGATAGACAAACAGGGCTGTGTAGTAAGATTTGACTCAGAAAACAAAACAAAGCAAGATGGAAATAACCACAGAATATAGACTTACAAAAGGCCTTTGACCCTTTGAACTATCTGGAAGCAAGTCAACATGTTAGGAGGCCAAGGGCTCAGCGGTGATGGTGAGGTAGATGGAAGTTATGTTGTTTGGTTTTGAGACAGGGTCTTACATTGTAGCCAGGATGGCCTCAGACTTAGGATCCTGCTGTCACCTCCTGAGAGCAGAAACTGGAGGCTTTTATGAGCACTGAAGAGATCTGAGTTCTCTTCAGTGATGAAACTGCAAGGGCTGAACCTTTCTGAGCTGTAGTATTGCCACAAAATGTGGGTTTTATTTTTTTCATTTTTCTTTATTAAATTTTCAACTTACTCCACATATCACCCACAGATCCCCCCTCCTCCCTCTTCCCACCCCCAGCCCTCTCTCCCAAACCACCCCGCATCCCCACATCCCCCAAATCAAGGTCTCTCATGGGGAGTCAGCAGAGCCCGGCACACTGAGCCTAGGCAGGTCCAAGCCCCTCCCCACTGCGCCAAGGCTGTGCAAGGCATCACACCACAGGCACCGGATTCCCAGAAATCTGCCCATGCACCAGGGACAGATCCCAATCCCCCTGCCTGGGTGCCCCCCAATCAGTTTGAGCCAAACAACCGTCTTCCATATCCAGAGGGCCTAGTCCA